TACTATACCCAGGATTTATTCTAGGTTTTAATTTAATTCAAGAATCTTGTTTTAAAAAGCATATGTTTGGTATGCTAGTGTACTTCTTTTTTTTGTAGCATTCATGGTTGGATGTCAGCTACATTTTGCAGAACATATAACACCTCTTCAGTTCAGGATTTAACAACAATCTAATCATGTTGACTTGTAGGCTTGTGTGAGTGACTGACACCATGGGCTTGATTGCATCTTCTGTGGAATAATTAACAGCCTGTTCTCAGAATAATTATAGCTCAAGCTGTAGTAAAATACTGTAAGTCTTATATGGATTTAAAGCTGTTTTTAAAATGTTTGACTTTAAGCTCATCATTCAAGAGGGTGATTGCCTTGCAAATTTAATCAAATGCTACTCCATGTTCTTGCCATATTCCTGTTGATAATTTAATCTGCAGCAATGTCACTTTCACCAATCACAGCCAATAGAATTGTTACAGTTGACGGCTGGTCACACATGAGCGTGCTGTATTTTGTGAATTCATTTTTACTTGCTGATCTGATAGTTATATTTATAATCCATAATTTTGTTGACACCTTTATTTTTTTCTAAACTAAACAATTAATATAGTTTATCCAGATGACCTTTATTATAATATATAATATATATATATATACGATATCTCTTTAAAGACTAACTATAGCAATTTTGTCACTTTATACAAATTTTGTTAAATTAATGTTTTGCTTTCCAATTGGCAGCTGCACTTCTGTGATGTAACACACAAGATCACAGCCAATAGAATGGCTTAATTTGGCAGCTTTTCCATTGTATGCCATTAGCCCAATAGTATTATTTTCAAGTAAATGTCCCCTTAACTCAGATTTTTGTACAAAACAAAGAATTAATGAGGTTTATGTTTCCATGTTAATGATGGTAATAGCATTGGCAGCGGGTTCCTTGATAGGCTTGAAGTAGATTTAATTGTGTGCTGGAGGGGAAGCATGGCCAAAGTCACCCTGAATGTTTAATACATAAAAGACAAGAATGATGTTACAATATTTTGAATGTTAGTTGTATTGTGTATGTGTATTCTTTCTTTGCCATGCAGGCAAGCCATTTGCCTTCTGGTAACATGCAAATATTCCGATACCTGGATGGCTTCAGCTATGATGTATGTATCCAACTGGATTGTACATAACACATAAAAAACTAGAAATGCAGTTGGTAATTTGCAACCAGTCAAATTTAGGCTGTTTTTCAGTGCAAGTTGGAAATGAAGATATCATCTGATTGGTGACTGTGAACAATATTTAAGATATCCTTTATACTGATTTTTAATTATGAGGCCAAATGTGCAGCACAAACAGCCTTTGAGTATAAAAAAAAAAAACAAAAACAGTATATAAACAGCAAATTTTAACAAAGTAAACTGCATTCTCAGCCTTTTGATATGACCTGTTTAAATAAATAATGGCTGAACACGTACTGTATGCTTTTAGTAAAGGTGAAGAGCACACAGTGCACCCACAAATAATGTTCAATAGCGTTGGATGACCCTTATCATAGTAAAGACCTGAAAAGTGCAGACTATACTGAAATGGCAACACAGCAACATTTATCCTGAAAATGCTGTCATTCTACTGTAAATATTAAATGAATATATGAGTGTGGAAAACCTCAATGCCTAAAACTATGAATATTTAAACAAAGAGCGTGAGTGTGTCTTGCATTTTGAATTATTGCGCAGAGCCGCAGACATGCCACAGGTCATGACACGTTTCACAAGATACCTCATAGATCTAATCAAGTGTAGAGGCTTTGGTGAATGGAAGACATTCTGCCATTCTGCACAATCCTGTGTCAATGATTAGGTTTTTTTTGCACTTTGTATAATAAGGATCATTTATATACAGTTCGGAGTTTCTATTTGATGGTTTACAATAGTCTGTTCTTTCAAAGCTCAATTTGGAAAAAAAAAAAACATCTGGAGGATTTTTAAATGCAAGACACAGTAAAATATGCACATTGTTGCTTAGATTTTATCAGTATATATAGCATTTTTTGCTGACACCTTTACATTTTAATCCTGGAATATGTCTTCTGCCCTTAACCCACCCACACCCCTCTCCCAAGCTAAGTCTTTGTAATTCCCATATTCTGAATGGCTTTCAATCTGTGCTTACAGAAATGACAGCTGTTTTTATTTGTCCTAAGCACTACAATGTCCACTGTAGCTTTGCCATACATACTAGGGCTTAAGAGGGAGGTTGCAAAGCACAGATTTACATGACAAGGTATTGCATTCTCTGCCCAGGAGATTTTTGAGAGGCATGTGGTGTAAGAGGATTTGTGATCAGATAAATATTTAGACAGAGTGTGGCTTTAACTTGGAACTTCACCTTAATAGGGAAGTGCCACTTTGTCCTCCTACAACACTTTAGGACTTTTTTATTTTTGGGGGGCGAGCTGGTACCTAGTTTTGGTAGGTACCTGCTTCAACTTTCTGTCAGATCGCCAAGGCAATTACACTGGATGTTTGGTCCCCCCCTCCCTGCTTAAAGCCTTCTGGGACACATCACAGATCCCAGCATGCTCATTCACACAGGACAACACATGCATGCGCAGTGGAAAGCTTGCTGTGAAGAAGCAATGAGTCACAGTTGGATTCCCACACTAAACATGACAGAGCCAGGGATCCGAGACCAGCAAAAAACCAGCCCAGGTGAGGACAGTGCTGGGTCCTTGGATAGGTAAGTGTCCTTTTATTAAAAGCTAGCAACTATAATATTTGTACCTGCTGACTTTTCATTTTTTTTTCAAAAAGGCTGAAGAGTCTGTTTGATTTGAACTTTACTAAACAGAAGCAAAGTAGAAAATGACAATGCTAACAGAGTCAAAGTGACAAATAGATATGTGCATTGTCAGATGCTAAGTTAGGCATTGCATTTATGTGTGAATGAATGCCCGGTATCTGTGGGGTTAATTGTTGTAAGGTTACATATGGGAGAGTTTTCTGGGCCTTTTGTCCCATCGGAAAGCATGAGAGGACACACATCCTGCAATGTAATCATTAGTGGAAGAAGGAGTTTACCCATGTCAGGACCTGGAGTGGGATAGTGCAGAACTGTTAGCTACGTGTTTGGGAAAGGTTTAAGCCAAAGGTATGTGCACCATTTTTACAGTCAAAACCATTGTTGCAGCCAGAAGCATTGCCACAGCCAATGCCTAGGTCACAGTCAACTAATTTTTTGTACTAGAAATGACTATGTAAACAATATATCTTGTGAGAGCAATGTAACATTCTTGTACCAACATCGTGATCTGCACCCAGGAAATAAGTTTGTTTACAAAGTCTGGTCCGGTCACTTAATAAAGTTAAGCTCATGCGTGCCATCACAGTGTGTGCAATAGGGGGAACAAAGTGTAAGTTTATAGAGGTGTTTTAAGTGTATATGTAATATCAGCATAAAGAAGTAAGAGCAGCCAGCTCGGGATCAGGATAGGGGTGGCCACTAACAGAAGGTTTCAGTCCGAAGGGTAGTTTGGTGTCTGTCTAAATATGCCCTTCTCAATGGTGGCTTCCTATTCTAGTACCATTGCAGTATGGAGCTTTTTTAGGAACAGGGCCTGGACCACGAAAGTTGTGAGGTGCCCTCTCTATATCTATGGGATGGAGCATGTAAAGTATTAAAGGTTAATTTCCTTATTCCAGTTGTTCTGTGATGGCTACTTTGGCAAAATTCTGACATTTCTGAAATCATTCGCCCTCGTGTTTGATGTCTATAAGATGAGAACAGAAGAATTGCTTTGAATTATACCAGGTTCACATATGTGCGGTCGTGCAGGCAGCAATTTGTGTCATTTGAATGGACTCCCATGCCCAGGGACATGCAGGGAAGAAGTCTTTGCACTACTTGGGAAATCGCAGCCTGCAAGGGAACTGAAGTTGCCAGTACAGCTGTGATTTCCAGTGCGGACAGCATGCCATTAGAATTAATGGCAACCCCCTTCGGGTCCCTCATTCCTCTGTGTGGGTGGTGCGGCTTCAGGTATTTGTGCAGGTCCCGCGGCATGCACAGATGTGAACCAAGCCTGAGTGACAGTGAAATATTTTCCACACCAACAACATGACATAGTGGAGTAGATTTACTAAAGGCAAATAGACTGTGCACTCTGCAAGTGCTGTTGCACTCAATTTCCCTAGAGCTTAGTGATTGTGGTGATACTTCACTTTGTAAAGAATACCCAATCAGGTGCTGTAATGTACCGCCTGGCGGTACCTCTAGCAACCCACGGGATAGGATTCTCCAGAGCGTGGAATCTAAGTCCCAGTCTGCTTGTTCACCAGGGCCCCTGATGGTTGGGATGGACTTGGAGCAGACAGAGACTAGGTCGAGGCCCCTGAGTACACCCACCCATGGTAGAGGGATCTGCCAGAGGTATCTGCTGGATAAGAGCCTGACATGAAGAGGCGGATGGGTCCGTGCAGGACGGATGGATGGATGGCTGAGTAGAAGCGTGGTCAGACAGGCCGGGTCGGTAACCGTGGGGACAGCGCGGTACAAGGCAGCAGGCAAAGAATAGTCGGGCCAGTAACGGGAGGTCAGATCCAATGGGGGGCATCCAAAGAGAGGTCAGGCAAGCCAGAGGTCAGGGCAGGAGAATACAGCACAGTCAGGATCAATCAGGGTCGGCAACAAATCAATCAACAGGTAACAGGAGCAGGAACAAGCAGATAAGACCATACGGCAACCAGTGTCAGTGCAGAGTGAATTTAACCACTAGCCTACAGGGCACTTATACCCCCTCCCTGCCCAGGACAATTTCCAGCTTTCAGCGCTGTCACACTTTGAATGACAATTGCGCGGTCATGCAACATTGTACCCATATGAAATTTTTATCATTTTTTTGAGACAGATAGAGCTTTCTTTTGGTGGTATTTAATCACCTCTGGAATTTTTATTTTTTCTTAAACAAACCAAAAACCACTGAAAATTTTGAAAAAAAAAAGTTTTTTCTTAGTTTTTGTTAAATACGTGATTTTTCTCCTTCACTGATGTGCGTTAATGAGGCTGCAGTGATGGGCACTGATAGGCTGCACTGATGGACACTGATAGGTGGCACTGATGGGCACTGATGAGGAGGCACTGGTAGGTTGCACTGATGGGCATTGACAGGCATCACTGATGGGCACTGAAAGGCAGCACTGATACATGACACTGATACATGACAATGATATATGGCACTGATAGGCAGCACTGATAGGCGGCACTGACTGGCACTGATAGGCGGCACTGACTGGCACTGTTAGGCAGCACTGACTGGCACTGTTAGGCGGCACTGCCTGGCACTGAAAGGCGGCACTGACTGGCACTGATAGGTGGCACTGATTGGCAGCACTGATAGGTGGCACTGATTGGCATTGATAGGTGGCACTGACTGGCACTGATGGGTGACACTGAAAGGCAGCTCAGATGGGCACTGATATGTGGCATTGATGTGCACTGGTATGCACTGATATGTGGCACTGATGGGCACTGGCACGTGGCACTAATGGGCACTGGCACTGATGAGCACTGACAGGTGGCACTTCTGGGGCCACACTGATCATCAGGGCACACTGATCATCAGTGCCCTGATGATCAGTGTACATGTCCCCTCCACGGAAAGCCGATTACCGGCTCTCCTCTCCTCTCGAGCTGTCAGCGTGACAGCTCGAGAGGAGAGAAATGCCGATAACCAGCATTTCCGTGTTTACATGTGATCAGCTGTGATTGGACACAGCTGATCACATGACAGAGCTGACATCTTCGGCTCTTTCTGTGATCCGCTGTGTTCGAGGGACACAGTGGACCGGTGATCGCCGCGCTGCGCGCTCCCTGTGCTGCGCATGCACAGTGAAAATGGTAGGACGTCATTTGACGTCCTATCAGAACGAGAGAACCACCTTGCGCCTGACATTGTACTATAGGGCGGGTGGAAGGTGGTTAAATACCGTGCCCTGCACTGTCATTGGTGCCAGGCACGCGCCCGTGGTCCCGAGTGCGCATGCGTGAGTTTCTGCTGTCGTCGTGGCCGCCCAGAACCTAGTGCCCGCACGCCAGTGTGAATCGGCACACTGCGCCTGCGCCGAGCCACACACCGCGGCGGCTCCTGACAGGTGCAATGAAAATGAAAAAAACAGTATTTGTGCTTGCACATGAGACTATTTCTGATTGGTTGTTTCTGAGATACTCATTCCCTCTTGTATACTGGTTGGCAATATTCCACTTTTACTTTCAGTTTACATTCTCTTATTTATAAGAAAACTGACTTGAAACAGTGCTGTGTTCAAATGTATGGCTTACAGAGGAGCTTGAATGTGTATTTCTTCATATATGCAGCAACCATCTGAATTTTTAGTGACATGGCTACTAATGACAGTGCTAACTGTAATGATCCAACCAGGTGAGTCCATCAACTGTTTCAACCCTGTGTGCCAGCCGCACGCATTTATGCAACCCCACTGGATGGGGCTTTTTTCTATGGGGCCGCTAATTTGCGTACCTGTCTTTGTGCTGGGAGAGGCGTGCTCCCAGCACAGAGACGGGAGTCTTACTGAAAGCCCTGGGTCCCATTCTAACGATCAGGACCCGGAACATCCGATTCTGGATCACCTGATTGCTGTGATAGCCTCTGATTGATCAGTCACTGTAAAGCCCCCCCCATGTTTTCTATCTCTGAATGTAGGAGAAAGATACATTGCATCTCTCTCTGTTCTTTCAGAGAGAAAAAAAGTGTGTAAAATAAATAAATAAATACATAAATTATAATATTAAAAAAATACAATTTCAAAATTAAAAAAAATATCTAGATCAAGATTTGATCTAGGCCAGTGCCTGGTTAGTGTTTGGGTCAAAGCCAGGGTCAAGGGTTGGGGTCTGTATTTTTTTTTTTCTAAATTTTCAAATTAGTTTCAGTGTCGGTTAGTGGCAGGATAAAAAAAGCAAAATGCGCTCTATTGTTATGGGTACAAACAACAACTAACATACACATATGTGGTATCGCTGGAATCGACCAAAGCAGGAGAAATTATTTTGGTTTGTTCTATGGTTGTAGGTTATGGTAGTAGCAAGAAATATACAGCTAAATTTTAAAAAGATTTTTTTTTTTACTATTTTGGGCTAGTTTTTCTTTGATAATGAAAAAAAATCTCGAGATATTATTACCATTTACCACCAAATGAAAGCCCAATTTGTCCTGAAAAAACAGGGAATAATCCACCTTGATGCACAAAGTAGTTGTGATGGTATGTACGGTTTTGCTATTACGTGTCAAAGTTGCAAAATTGCTGAGTCGTTGAGATTTGTTTTACCCTTAGGCACGAAGGGGTTAATAATAAAGTGGTTGTAAACCTCTGAAATGAAATATGAACAAAGCACATACTTCTATATTGTGTCCTTGTCTCTATTCAAAGCACTGAGTGTGATTTCTTTCTGCTGCCTCATTTCTCTGTTATCTGCATGAGTCACTTCTAACCGCTTTTCCCAACTTCAAGAGATAACTGTTGATGGGGAGGAGAGATCCAGCACACAACCTGCGATTTACAGCTACAGCTGTGCATGTTCGTTGTGTGCCGTGAGGGCGGGGGGGTGTCCCTTCCCTCCAGTCAGAGCTCTTCTCACTAAGCTATACACTGTGAGACTTCAGATCCCTGCCCCCTGCTTTTCAGACTTGAGAGATGCTGTGTAAAATGTGTGTTTTGGAAGACTGTAGAGAAGGGAGGGCTGCAGATAAATGGCTACAACTTATGTAGGAGAATTTTTTTTATCTCTGTGTATCATCGAAAGCTAGTCACTTCAATGGATATATATAAGGGTTTACAACCACTTTAGGTCCCCCCATACAAGTAGTTACAAGCCGTTACATAAACTCTGTATAACCCACGGTTTGTTGCTGTCTGTGCTAATATAAATACCTTCAAAGGACTTGTACTTTAAAAATTATGGTGCTATCTTGAAATAAATATTAACCATGACATCAAAGAATATTGAGTAAAGGCCAAGTGGCTAATTCAATTTGTGTTTTTTTTTTCTGTTTGTTTTTCATGGGTGGGAATACAAAGGCTTTAGAATTTAACAAACCCATCACTACAACCATAAGCAAGAACATAACGGAAGCCTTAATGGTCAAGAGGGGCTGAGATGTCTGGCATCATGATGATTTATTCATGCTGTAATAGCATTAGCTAAATACTAAATAATAAATAAATAATAAAGAAAGTTCAGGCACAGCTATCAAATCACTATGAATGCACTTGGTAGGCTAAGTAGAGGGTTGATTAGCAATTTAGAATGACATACTTCTGTAGTAGGGCTGCTTCAAAGTACATTGAAGGCCAACACTTTTTTTTAAATGTTGGGTAGAGTAGTTTGATCATTTGAACCCTTTCAACCAGCTTTCTCTCTCCCATTTGGGGAGATTTCCCTTAACTTCCTGTCTGAAGAAAAAAAAACATTCTTAGGCAGTTACCACTGGAATAGGTGTCCCCTTTGGAAGATTTCCCTCCCTATTTCATGTACTAGTGAAAACTGTGAAATGTGGCCTTTTTCTTCACTTTCTGTCTTAGTGACAAACAGAGATGGTAAATCTTTCCAGCGTGGGCACACAAATCAATAAGAACCAGAAAGGAATTGTATATGAAAGAAAGTTGGCTTTAGGGAAAATTTAAGACGACGCAAAGAGCTGTTATATTTATTAGTCCCATTACATGTGGTAATTACAGCATTCATGACCTTTTATTGACAGCTCTCATTTGCACCTTCCAGAGCTCCCTGGATTTGACCATAAATTCATGTACATATGAATAAATACGTTTTTTTTTTAAAATGTAAAAATCAGTCTGAGTAGCCTGTTAGGACAATAGTCAGATCACGTTGAAATACTCTTTTGTATTCTAGAAACGTGAAAATGCTTTTTTTTTCATGGAAGTGACTATGACACTGAAGTAGAGATCCCTTTGTAAAGCTTGCATTGCATCTCCTTTGTAAATGGTGTTAGAATATAATGATCCTACAAGAACTCACAGAACACTGTGAACTTAATATTTTATGTTGTTCTTTTCACTGTTATCATTACTATTTATTCATAAAACATCAATATATTTTACGCAGCGGCAGTTCAGGCATAGTAGGCAGAGATGCATATCAGCTGCAGACTGCAAGAGAAAATGGTAATTAAACTTTGATGCGGCTGAACCTCATAGTGGTCATGCTGTCATGAAAAGCAATATGTTTTAGGCCCCAGCAGCAAAAAAGATTTGCTCTTGCTCACAATGGGAGATTCATCAAACTTTTATTACATCTTTACACCATCTCAAATATTTTGTTTCTCACTGAAAGCAAATTATACTTTGGCACGTATGTTATAGAATCAAAAGAGCAGTGCTACCTGACTAATTCACAGACCGTCTTTCAATATCCATGTTTTTAAGGAAAATCTACATGAGATGTAAAGACCGGAATTTATTCCACTTACCGTAAATACTATACTTACTGTAAATACTGTATTTATTTTTAAACTGCTTGCTGCTTGCACATTGCCTGTCATGCTTGTATATCCTTAGATTCTGCACACCAGTTGACATTTAAGATCAGTTTGACCAGGTGCATGCTTGTACTAACAGTAGGTCAAGTATCCTTATATATCAGGCAGGTTTTCTGGCAGGTTAGCAGGTACCGAGATATTAATAATGTTTCTTTAGACAGAGCAATTATTAAAATATTTACCACTTCCCCTCTCACACCTATCCACCCCCTTTGTATCAGAGCAAGTTTTACATTTCTGCTCTCGGGATCAGCTTCATGTTCCCATGAAGTATACACCCCCGCCCCCTAGTAAAACACTCCCCTCACACATTCTCACACATAACTCATACCACTTATATGTGGACAATTTTTATTCAAGCCTGCCACTATTTAGACATTTGTACATTACCTAAAAAATGTTAACCCCTTCCTCCCCAGTGCCATTAGTACAGTGATAGTGTTTTTTTTTTCTTTTTTTGCACTGATCACTGTATTGGTGTCATTGGGGATGTCAGTGACCCCAAGGCAGTTCCCCCCCAGTGTCAAAATGTCCGCCGCAGTCCAGCCATAAGTCGCTGATCACGGTCATAAATCGCTGATCACCGCCATAAGTCACTGATCGCCGCCATTATTAGTATAATAAAAAAAAAAATCCCAGTATCTTTCCCGCCATGTGTAGACGCTATAACTTTCACGTCAACCAATTAATTTACACGTATTGGAATTTTTTTTAGCAAAGACATGTCGCAGAATACATTTTGGCAGAAATTTATGACTAAATTTGCTTTTTACACATTTTTTTACTGGACATGTTTTATAGCAAAAAGTCCAAAAAATTGTTTTTTTTTTCACAAAATTGTCAGCCTTTTTTTTTATAGCGCAAAAAATAAAAAACGCACAGGCGATCAAACACCACCGAAAGAAAGCTCAATTTGTGGGCAAAAAAGGATGTAAATTTAATTTGGGTGCAGTGTTGCATGATAGCGACATAACACAAACCGCTTCTGTAACCGCTTCCTGACCGCCCTATAGCAGAAATAC